CAGTAGAACCATTTTGCGTGGGAAATTTTATTGAGGGACCTTAGAGTAAAGGCCTGTATGCCTAAGTGTGGGGGTTCCTTGAGACAGTATGATCTGACTGTTCTGGTACAGGCTGCTCAGGGACCTATTTTTTACTTAGTGTAGACTAATAAAAAATAAAGGCATTTGGTGGGGTTTTAAAAAATAATACTTTAAGTTTTTGCTGTGTTATAGATATGAGAAACTTTCCTGAACCTTTTTTTAAAAGTTTTTATTGACTTCAGAGAGAGGAAAGGAGAGGAAGAGAAAGTAGAAACATCGATTAGCTGCCTCCTGCAGGCCCCCTACTGGGGATCGAGCCCACAACCCAGGTATGTGCCCTGACCAGGAATCGAACCGGCAACCTCCTGGTGCATGGCACCACGCTCAGCAAACTGAGCCATGTTAGCTGGGCTGAAACTTTTCTTAATATAGTAGAAATACTATGTGTTACAACATTAACTAATGACTTAGACCACCTAGTTTTGGTTTGTACCTCCTCAGTCTCCCATCATGTTATGAGAAAAATAATGTGGCATTTCAGACCTGGTCAGATTAGTTAATAGATTCTAAACTTAAAAAAATTAATTAGTAATGCATTCTCATAGTACAAAAGTTACCAAGCACACACGTGATACACAGTGAAAAGTAAGTCTCCAATCTCCTTGCTACCTGCTCCCCTCCAAAAGAAGTGGCCATTATCAGTTCCTTGTATGTAATTAGTGCTGAGGTTAAGTAGAAGACTAAGACAACCAGATTAGATCAAGTCCTTGACACAGTTCACCTGTACATATTAAACAGTGTGTGTGTATACATATTTCTTTTTACACAGGAGTAGCATAGTAATCATATTTCTATACTTTGCTTTTTTTTTTTTTAAGTGAAGACGTTATCTTGAAGGTTCCATATAATACTAGTAAACATAAAGCTGCTGAGTTAGTTTTCCTGGCTTCATTGTATTCCACCGAATGGCTGTTTTATCGTTTATTGAACTTGTCTCCCTCCTGCTTTATAATAACAGAAAAATGGGCACTTTGCTTTCCATTGTCCTGCCATTATGAACAGTGCTCCAGTGAATTCCTTATACTTACATTTAACTTTGGAGTCTGTCTACAAGCAAAAATTGGTTAGCTATATAGAGCAGATAAAAAGAGGTTAGTACTTCTGTGGTCTACGTGGATAAAGTAGTGGTTTGGATGAGGCTTGCTGGAAGTGAGCCTCCTTGTGATTATTGGAGGTGAGAAGGTTTGTCCTGGTCCTATGGATTTAAATCTGGGCTGAAGTGTTGTTTCTGCAAGAATATCACTGGTGACGCAGTGGGATCTGATTTGGGGTTTGCTTTTAAATGAGGAATGCTACAGTTATGTTTCTTTCCATATTTGCAATTTTTTAAGACTTTGTTAATTTTAAAGTTGAGAATGTATCTTATTGGAATGACACAATATTTGTGAAATTAAGATATTTTCTATAAATTAGCATAGAATAGTTATTAGTAATTGTTAAGGTTTAAAAAAAACTGTCATAATCTTAAAATAATTTTTAGTTGCTTCCACTCTTGTGTAGTTTAAGCCTTTCTATAAAATTCCCAAATGATTATCTCTTTCTCTGTTCATAACTTCCCTTTCTAATATCTGTGTATCTTCTCAAGCCGACTTTTCCTTCTGTCAACTGATTATAGTTGGCACTAATACATTGCCAACAGGAATCCTCAATTTGAGGTGTAGTGAAAAAAGAAACTTTATTCAGTGCAAACAACTTAATTGTGATACAAGAGGGCTGTGAGAACAGCACAGCTGTGGAACAGCTCCATAGTGTCACGGGTCAATTATGAAGCAGCGTGGCAAACAGTACTGTTGGGAGGAGCAAGGCCGCTCTCTGGCTGGACAGCTCTGCTCCAGGCTGGTCTGCTCCACCTGCTCCCACTCGGCCCTGCTCCAGGCTGGTCTGCTCTACTCTGCTCCCATGACATGTCTTCAGTGTTTCCACTCCAGTCAAAGAAACAGTCTTCACTCTTCAGTAGAAAGAGAAAGTGTGCTCCCTGAGCCAGAGCACAGCTGACTTTCTGTGTTCATGCAAATAAGGACTCCAAATGTTTACAGTTTGATTGGTCCAAAAGGCACTGTCCTGAATAGTCAGAATGGAGCCACTTATTGGTTGGTGAAGATGCTGATGGGGATATATCTTCACAGCTCTGATTAGACCAGGAATGGCCCAGTCCTATTGGTTGAAATAGGATTCCAGAAACTCCTTTATAAGGGCTGGCTCAGATGGCAGGAACACAGTGTATGCAGGCAATTCAGTGCAGGCTTCTCCCTGAAGTGCAGTTTGGGTGGAGAGGACCCTTTTTAGATGTGACTGATAGGCTCTGCTTTAAATTTGAGCCCAGTTAGCCACCAGGAGCCCGTCTTGGCATCTTCTGTGTCAGGGTTCACACTTCTTTCCCTTGCTAATATTAACTCTTACATTTAAATTAAAATAGGAAATGGCTATATGTGGGTGATGGGATTAAGAGGGCTTTTTGTTTTGGGCTTAAAAAAAAAGATACAAAATTTGTACACCTTTGAATTTAGAAAAGCTTCTTTTAAAAAGTTTGAGAAATAGGAATTAATACCTCATTTTTTGTTTTGTAGTCCAAGATGTTCAAGAATGCTGTTTTGGGTAGAGAAATTAAGCAACCCTAAATTTGCTTTCTTTCCTTTGTTCTTAATAGTTGCCTGACTGTTCTGTTAGATATTTTCCAAGTTCCATGTCTTGTAGATTTTAAAAGCTCTTTGAATGTAGGTGCTAAATGTGTTGAATTTATTGCATATGCCTACGTGCAAAAGCAGGAAGAATTCTTTTTAAAAAGTATGCTGTAGTTAGGCTAGGGTATGTTTGGCTGATTTTAAGAATCCTGTTCAGTTTAGGGATGTGGCCTGAGGGATTGTAGTTGTGGTTTTGTTTTAGGACGAGTTTCTTAATTAACATGAGTGAGGTTTCCATTGACTGGTTTAGAAGCACAATGGAGATGAGCCATTTTAACACCTATTTCATCACCTTAAAAATTAGGATACTAAGCCATTTGTTGGAATGTTTTGAATGGGGCTGTTCCACAGGGAATCTTAAGTTAGGGATATAGAGTATTTTGGATAACTAATTTGGGATTCTTTTCTCTTTTCTTGGTTATTTGAAGGGATTTAATTACCAGAACAGTTTCTTTTTTCAGCAGAACTATTTTTGATTCAGTTCTTTAAAAATATGTCACATACTTCCTTGTCCCATTAGACAGGCAGAATAAACTAAACATAATTAAAATTTTTTCTAATGAATCAGGGCTGTTCTACCAAAAGGGTGGATGGTGTGAGATACTAAGGGGAACCTGAAAGATCTTAGGGAGCTTGCTTCCTTGTATTGATTGCTGTCTTCTGGCTCTTCTTTCTCTTCCTTCTCCTTTTTTATTTTTTAATTTTTTTTATTTTTTATAATGAAGGCCAGCTTCTTTTGCATTTGTCTTCAGATAGAGTGGGAGGGAGAGGGGGAGGAAGAGAGAGAGAAACATCAGTGAGAGAGACACTCCACTGGCTGCCACCCACACAACTTCAAGGGTGGGGGCGCAAACCACAACTGAGGTACGTGACCTTAGTGGGAACCAAACCCGGGTCTCTCTGGACCGTGGGCCGACACTCTTAACTGCTGAGCCAAACCAGCCAGGGCTCCTTTTTTGTTTTTTAAACATTAGTTTCTTCTTTTAAAAGTAGGGGGAGCTCGCTGGTGTGGCTCACTGGTTGAGCATTGACCCATGCACCAAGAGGTCGCTGGTTCAATTCCCAGTCAGGGCACATGCCCAGGTTGTGGGCCAAATCCCCAGTGGGGGACATGCAGGAGGCAGCCAATCAATGTTTTCTCTCATTGATGTTTCTGTCTCTCCCTCTCCCTCTCCCTTCTTCACTCTCTAAAATCAATAAAGAAAAAAAAAATTAAAAAGTAGGGGGAAAAATGACCTAGGAAGAGGAATATGGCCACTTTCATGTAAACGTAGTGAATCAAAGATTGAAGAAGCCTTTCTGTATACATTGTGTTGGTGTTCATTTTTATTTGCTCTAATAAATGCCATCTTTACTGTCTTTATTAAGGTCCTTTTGGCTTTTTGGGGTCATGCACTGTTTTAAAAATTATTTGCGCATCAGTAATGTGCCACACTAGCCTCATGGTCAGGGGCAGCCCACTCTTTCATTTTGTAAGCATTAGATTCGAGCATCTCTTAATTATTTTAAAAACATGCCCCACCTTCTGTTGAAAAGGCCTTGATTTTGCATTGGTGTCTCATGGTTGCCTTTCAGTTCTCAGCCCCTCCTGCCAGTTTTCTCTTCCTTCTTGCAGGTTTGTCAGTTCCAATCCCCTCTAGTGTCCCAGAACCTGTACTTTAAGGCTAACACCATGATAGAGTACTTTTGGGCTAGCAGATGGTCCCTACAATGTATTTTAAAATTTGCATATATATTTTGATTCTCAGTTCTTTGTGTTCTTGTTACTCTTTTGTGACCATCCTCCTATTTGTTTGGCAGGGCAGGATATTTGGGTGCTGGATTTTACTGTTCATGATAACTACATTTTCTAGAAAACTTTTCTTTGAAGCTATCACAATCTTAATATAGGAAATGTTGTACCTAGAGGTGCCTACAGTTTATAAGGTACATACAGTTTTACACATACAGTACAAAGTTAACACATAGTTTGGTTAAAACTAAAGAGGAATGCGGCCTGCTGAGTGTACATATTGGAACAGGCCTCTGAATTTCCTGGTGCCTCTCCTCCCTCTCTTTATCCCTACCCACACCACCGTATAAAACTGTGCCCTTTCAAATATTACTTATCTTGTTCTGGTAGAGAACTGGAAAGCCTCAATCATTAGGAATGATGGCCGAATTCCTAATATAACATTTTAGCATTGCTTTCATGTTCAACAGGAGGAAACAAATTTTCTTTCTTTGGTTTGTGTGCAGGTTCTAGTCAACACTGCTTGCTGTGTTTTGATGTTGATGGCTAAGCTAATCCAATGTATTGTGTTCGGCCCTCTTCGAGTGAGTGAGAGACAGGTAAGTCCAGACAGTAAGGGTGGATTCTTGAGACCAGGATTTCTTTTAACTTTGTAATTGATATAATTTCAAATTTCCAGAGAAGTTGCATGAATGTTACAAAGAACTTGATTCATAGTTAACATTTTGTCTCATTTGCTTAACATTTGCTGTTGTTTCTATATACTTATTTTTTTCTGATATGTTTGAGAGTAAATTGTGGACATCATAATCCTTTACCTCCAAATATTTCAGTGTGTGTTTCCCAAGAGCAAGGATTTTTTTGTGCATAACCATAGCACAATGGTCAAAATCAGGAAATTCAGCGTTGATAAAATATTTTCTGTAATCCACAGTCCATATTCAATGTAGCCAAGTTGGTTCCAATATTGTTCTTTATAGCTGTTTCCCCCACAACTTTTATTAATGTCTTTTTAAAAGAAGCATAGAATTTAGTTTGAATAATCATAACTATCACTCTTTAGAGTATGGATTCTTTTCCAAAGGAATTTACATAGAGATTTAAAATGTTTCCTTTGGAAAAGTAATTTAGGTTTCTTCTACAAGAAGAACATTAGGTGATTTCTTCTTTTTTTTAGGTGAGACAATCTGATTGAACATTATTCTCAGGCTGCACATGTGAGCAGGACATGCTTTCAATAAACAATTCTGCCACAAGACACTGCACGGATTGGCAGTTCCCCAAAGATTTGAGTGCATAGAATATAGAATGCTATGTTTTAAGTAAGAATTTAGAGCCGGCCTTTAAAATAACAACATATGAACAAAACTGTATTTTACTTTATCTTATCTCAGTGCTAAGACAACAGGAACCTACTCCATTAAAAGTATAACAATGGCTTCACTCTGTACTTGCCCTTTTCAACCCAAATCTCCTGTTATCAGATCAGCCAGGTCCTAGTTTAGAGCTGAGCTGCAGTTACTGTAATGGTTGAGCTCTTAGATGCTGTTATGAGCAGGACTGCTTCTTTTCCCAGAGACTTTTTTATTTGTATCATGCCTTTCTTCAAAATATCAACTCCAGAGGTCTCCCAGATGGGATCACTGGAATGTAGACTTTTTTTTTTGTAGACTACAAAAGCTTCTTTTGATGTTTCTTTCTTCTTCAAGAAAATCTTTTGACTTGTGGGTGAAAATTGGTCAGGCTAGGAAAACCATCTAATTGCTGATGGATTGAGCTGGCACCAGTGAGCCTTAGATACTGCTTTCTTTCTCTTTAAAAAACATTTTTTAAAATTCTCACCCGAGGGTGTTTTCATTAACTTTGAGAGAGAAAGAGAGAAACATTGATGTGAGAGAGAAACATGGATCCTTTGCCTCCCCTACATGCCCAGTCCAGGGACTGAACCCGCAACTTATGTATGTGCCCCGACCAGGATGGGACGATGCTCCGACAAACTCTGAACCACACCAGCCAGGGTGGTATAGTAAATATTTTAAAAACTGAAAGTCCTAAGTGTAGGGAAGGATACAGTGAAGCAGATCCACACTGGTCATGGGATGTACACACTTACACAACCTCTATGGAAGTCAGGTTTGGTAATGCTGAAGAAATAGAAACTTGTACAAAGATACTCATTGCAACATTTTCTGAATGGTGAACAATTAAATAGTTTCAGTGTCCATCTGTAACTGCCTAAAATGATATATTCAGAGAATATTCACTGACATTGGAAAGGTTCTTACAATATGATAAGTGAAATAAAGCAGTGTACAGAAAATGTTTTGCACATAGAAAGAAGATAAGAAAATTCATAAAAATGTTAAGGCATCATTTTTTGTTGTATTTTATTTTGTACTTTTATTGATTATGGGCTGCCAAATAAGCATATGTTATTTTTTAATCTAAAAGTTGTTTTAAAAAAAGTCTAGTCTTTTCTGTTTAAGAATTCAGAGAACAGTCCTGGCCGTTTTGGCTCAGTGGTTAGAGTGTCGGTCTGCGGACCAGAGAATCCCATGTTCGGTTCCCACTAAGGGCACGTACCTTGGTTGCCCCTGGTTGGGGTCGTGTGGGTGGCAACCACTCGATGTGTCTCTCTGACACCGATGTTTCTCTCTCTCACTTCCTCCCTCTCTCCCACCCACTCTCTCTGAAGATAAATGCAGAAATGTTCTTGGGTGAGTATTAAAAAAAAAAAAGAATTCAGAGACTGATATGATACAAATGCTACTTGTAATCCTCACCATTCTTTTTTATTTTCTATTGGAAGTATAAGTATATGTATTATTTAATTCATAAGGTACTTGACTAATATCACTCCCCTTTCTTTTGCTAAAATTCCATAAGTGATTTAGGATTACAATCCAAAGTCTGCATATTACTTTCGAGGTGTCTTACCTCTGTTCTTCAGAGGGCTTATTTTTTTCTTTGCCTTTTATTTTTTTGTGAACCAGTGTTAGAACTGAGTGTAGAATATTTCTCCATAGAAGTCAGCTTTTGTTATGTTAACTTCTATTAAATTGGTTAGGTGTGATGGTTCTAACCTTTGTAAACATTTTTCTTTTTAGCACCTCAAAGACAAGTTTTGGAATTTTATTTTCTACAAGTTCATTTTCATTTTTGGTGTGCTGAATGTCCAGACAGTGGGAGAGGTGGTCATGTGGTGCCTCTGGTTTGCTGGACTTGTATTTCTGCATTTGATGGTTCAGCTCTGCAAGGACCGATTTGAATATGTGAGTTTTTAGCTAAGCTCTTTGCTCGCTGTGTCACACATTTGCCAGGTTTACGTCCTGTAATGTGAATGAGCCATAATAGGCATGCCGGAGTAGCTCTCTAGAGGAAGCCTTCTGGATCAGGTACCCACTACCTGTTTCTTGAGGGACTTTCTGCAGCAGCCAAGGACTTTGGGGTCAGTGTCTCCTAGGGAGGTTTCCTCGCCACCCAAAAGGTATTATATTACAGTCCACGTGGGGAAGTTCACCTATGCAAACTGTTTCTATCACAGTGCAAGAAACCTTAATACATAAACGGAATAAAAGCTGATCTCTACCAGACATTTTCTTTTCTAGTTTCCTTCCATTTCTTTCCCCTCTTACTCTGGTTCTCGGAGCTCTTCTTTCTGATTAGTTTACACTGTTTCCACCCCTGGGCAAGGACTGAATTAGCTCTCTGGTTTCCTTGGTCCCAGGAGAAGGGAATCCTTTTCCATCTGGGCACAAGATCTGCCTCTTGGCTTCAGATCAGAGCTGTGCAGGTGAACCCTGACTCTTGAGTGCTCCCGAACTAGTTTCATGGCACCCAAATAAACCTACAGTTCTGCCTTTCATTTAGTTTTTTTTTTTTCTTTATTGATTTTAGAGAGAGAGGAAGTGAGAGGGAGAGAGAGAGAGAAACATGAATGAGAGAACATCAATTGGCTGCCTCCTGCATGCCCCCAGCTGAGGATTGGGTCCATAATCTGGACATGTGTCCCTACTGGGAATTAAACTGGAGACTCTTGGTGCATGGGTCGACGCTCAGCCAGTGAGCCACACTGGCCTGACTACAGTTCTGCCTTTCAGTTGAACCCATCCTAGGGCCTTGTTTGCCCCTTCTTCATGCAGTCACCATGGACCAATGGCTCTTGCCTCCCCAGTGAGTCCATTTCAGTTTTAGAGTCTATAGTTCTTTCACAGTTCAACCCCCACTCAAGGCTAGGAGCAGGAGCTTCTAACCTCCCTAACTTATTTGCTCTCTACATCTTCCTGCTCAGGAGCTCCAGGCCTTCTTTTCTAAGCTGTTGCCTCTCCTTGCATCCTATTAACATAATATTATAATAGTAGTACATCTGCAGCTGGGTATGTTTCAGTTGTCCTCCAAGTGGATTTTGGGGAGGATGGCTAGAGCAAGATCAAAAAAAACAACGGAATGTGGGGCTGTCCTAAGTCCTATTGAATGTTAGAAAAGAGAGTTACAGTCTTCTGGAAAATTGCTTCTAGAGGCCTATAGTTTCACTGGTAGAAGGATTCTTGAGAATCTGAGATGAAAATACAATGTATATTGTTATATTCAGTAGAGTAAATGATAAATATATACATCAACTCATACTCATATTTTGGTTGGTTGGAGAATTTTGGCCATCTGGTAATGGGATGCTTTTCTGTTTCGCATTTGGCCATGCAGCTAAGCACAGATCCCTAAGCAAAGCTACCAAGATTAACCTTGACCCCTCGCTGGTTTGGTTCAGTGGTTAGAGCATTGGCCTGCAGGCCGAAGGGTCATGGGTTTGATTCCTGGTCAAGGGCATGTACCTGGGTTGCAGGTTTGATCCCTGGCCCAGGTTGGGGTCGTGCAGGAGGCAACCAGACTGTATGTCTCTCTCACATTGATGTTTCTCTCTCTCTCTTTCTCCTCTCTTCCGTGCCATCTAAAAATCAATGGGAAAATATCCTTAGGTGAGGATTAACAACAACAAAAAATATGAACTATGGGTTTCTCATTGCAGTTTCACACCATGAAGAAGAATAAACTTTCTTCTCCTGCTTTGTACTTTTCAGCTCTCTTTTTCTCCCACCACACCGATGAGTAGCCATGGCCGAGTTCTGTCTCTGTTGATGGCTATGCTGCTTTCCTGCTGTGGATTAGCAGTAATCTGCTGTGTCACAGGCTACATCCATGGGATGCACACATTGGCTTTCATGGCTGTGGAGGTAAGATGCAGTTGGGCTTTTGCTCTGGTCACTTTTCTTAGTATTTTCAAGGAAGCTAGAGGTGTACTGACAGGTCATTACCACCCATGAAGTGAATGATGGATATTTGGTCTTTCTTTTTAACAAGCATTTTTTTAGCTCTGTTTTGTGTTGGGTGCTGGTAGTGGATGCTTTTTTTTTTTTTTTTTTTTTTTTTAATATATATATTTTTTATTTTTAGAGAGGAAGGGAGAAGGAGAAAAAGATAGAAACACCTGATCGGCTGCCTCCTGCACGCCCCCTACTAGGAATCGAGCCCACAACCTGGGCATGTGCCCTGACTGGGAATCGAACCAGTGACCTCTTGGTACATAGGTCGACATTCAGCCACTGTGCCACACCGGCCGGGCTGGATGCTTTTAATGTGTGTTACTTCATGTAATCCTTGCTACAGCCTAATTAAAAGTGATTATTTTTACCATCGTTTAAGTAGTGCTTACTATATATTAGGAATTATTCTAAATACCTTACCTGTATTGACTCATTTTTACATGTATTTACTCATTTTATTATTCCTAGTCATGAATGGGGAAACAGGCATAGTGGGTGAAGTAATTGCTTAAGTTTCCAGAGTGGCATGTGGCACAATCTAAGTCCAGTGACTCCCAAGTAGGAAGGATAGTTAGTTTCCTTAAGATACTGTAAGCAGTGATTGGTGGTAACTAAAAAGGAATACTCTGTAAATTTTTTTTTTTTTTAGGTAAGGTATGAATTAAGAGTTTATAGAGTAATATAATATGTAAACCAGCCCTGGCCAGTTTGGCTCAGCAGTTAGAGTGTCGACCTGCGGTCCAGTGAGACCCGGGTTTGGTTTCCACTAAGGGCATGTACCTCGGTTGCAGTTTGTCCCTGGCCCTGGTTGGGTCGTGCAGGTGGCGACCAGTCAATGTGTCTCTTTCATGTCAATGTTTCTCTCTCTCTCTTCCTCCCACTTTATCTGAACAAAAAACGAAAAAATGTCCTCGAGTGAGGATAAAAAAAAAAAAAAATGTAAACATATTATTTTGAAAGAATAATTTGATATTCATGTGTATTTTAAAATTTACTTTTTAAATCTGAAGATACTAATTTCTATTCAATAGAAGTCAAAATTTTCTGTATGTTTTTATAAAATTCAGTGACTTTCCTTTGTTCCTCAGGTGAAAAACAAAAGACTTTAAATTTTTGTCCATAGTAGCTATTGTTAATGAAAAAAAAAAAGAAATAATATATTAAAGCTGATTAGCTAATATCAAAAACACTAAGTTTGAACTACTTACTGGGAATTTGTTAGAATAGGGTTAAATTTTATTTGTCTTAATAGCATTCATTTCAGAGTATAATATAGTGGTGTAAGTAAAATTAGAAAAAAGGAACATTTAAGTACTTAGTAAAAACATTTGCAATCCTAGTTAAATACTTTCTGTATGTGAAAAGTATGCAACTATTTTTTCTTGAAAAACATTTGTCTAAGACTTTATTTACACTGACTAGCGTTAATTAGTTTATTTTAGATATATTTTAATTATAAACCATCATTTGAATAATACTGTGTTTTCCTTTTTTGATTTTCTAACTTTTAATTAATATTAGGCCAAACTTTGAACAAGGTATGCCTAAAAATAAAGACATTTAAATTAGGCCTATTGGGTCTTACTATAGTACCTGTTTTTACTATATATTAGGAATTATTCTAAATACCTACTTGTATTGACTCATTTTTACATGTATTTACTCATTTTATTATTCCTAGTCATGAATGGGGAAACAGGCTTAGTGGGTGAAGTAATTGCTTAAGTTTCCAGAGTGGCATGTGGCATAATAATACTTAGCTAATCAGCTTTTGTTTTAGTTCATTTAATCAGTTTTTGTTTTAGTTCATTCTGTTTATTCCTTTATTATGTTATAGATTTGCTATTTTGAGCTAAATTACATTTTTATATTTACAGTATTTCTCTTCTATGTATGGTAAAATATTTTCCATTTATAACTGAGAGTGTCCTAATCTCAAACAAAAATAATTTAACAGTTCTTTTCTGGTAGATTAAGAGGAAAGTGTTCTTCATATTAATTTCTATAATACAAAATACCACAAGAGGCTTATTTTGTTTTTGATTTCCTTTATTCTCTGTGGGCAATGGGAGTGCATACAGCATTATGTAGACAGATGCTCCCATCTAGGATAGTGGCATCTAAACTATACTTCGGGTATAGGATCACCAATTATTACAAAACCCTTTTCAGGTAATCAGTTGTATAACTTAGTATTGTATCAAATAGAAGTTATCATCCAACTACTAGGATGACTCTCTAGATTGTAAAGGCATCCCTAGGAGATGGACAGGTATAATTTATTGTGACCTGTTAATGGAAAAGGGCTCAATAAAAGTTGTGTTGCTAGATGATGAATATATTCCATGGAAATTTGAAGCAGATGAAATAAAATGGCTGGCAAACTTGAACAATGGCCTTTTTTCTTTTTGCTTTATTGAGGTATCATACAGCGTTGTATAAGTTTAGGTGTACACATCATGACTTAACTTACATATACTGTGAAATGATTATCATTAATACATTTCATTAACATCCATCATCTCGTATCGATAGAAAAGATGTTTTTTCCTTGTGATGAGAACTTTTAGGATCTATTCTCTTTGCAACTTTCACATATACCACACAGCAGTGCCAACCATAGTCATCATGTTGTATATCATGTCCCCAGTACTTATCTGTCTTATACCTGGACATTTGTACCTTTTGACCCATTTCATCCAATTTCCCCACACCCACACCCCTCGGACAACCTGCTTTCAGATTGAACTGAGAAATGTTTGACTTTTATCATTTTGTAAAAGTAAGTTTGGCCTGAGGAATACTAACTTTGACTAAATATATATAGATATATAGATATATATTTTTTCTTTTACAGTCTCTTCTTGTCACAGTGAGGACTGCTCATGTGATTTTACGGTGAGTACAAATTTGGGAGGGAAGTGATTAAGATCTATTCATACAGTTGATTTTAAGATATAACATATAAAATATATAAAAATGTGACTATCCTATGTCACGTTTAAACCAAATTCAATTGTAACACAACAGTATCAAGATGATTTTTCTGTATTCATCACAGATATGTAATCCACCTTTGGGACCTCAGTCATGAAGGGACGTGGGAAGGGAAGGGAACATATGTCTATTACACAGACTTTGTCATGGAGCTCACTCTCCTATCTCTGGACCTCATGCATCATATTCACATGTTGGTAAGTCCTCAGGAGCTAAGGTTTTCAGTCAGGAACCCTTGTTAGTATGTTAACAAATGAAACATTGGTGGATGAACCACTTTAAGACCCTGAAAACAAACGCAGCTGTGCTTGTCCCTCTTTTTGCCAGTGGGTATAAAGCAGTGTCCTGGAACCACTTTGGCCCCCAGCTTAGGAGGAGTTTGTTGAATCTCCTAGGAGACTTAGTTAACTCTGCTGACCAAGCAAATAGATAATTCTTTTAGCATAAAGTTAAGGGAATTCCTCTCCCCATTGTCTCTATGGCTTCTTATATTTAGCAGTTACTTTGTACGTGGTAGTGGGAATTCTTACAGAGTTAGGTACTTCATGGATTCATAAATTATCCGTCTTAGTAGTTAAAAACATTTTTACACTTAAATCCTCCCACTTCATTGTTTATGTTTTACTTTGGTGTGCAAGAAATTATGGTGTTGAACACCTCCTTCACTGGTTAGCACTAAGTGATCTAATAATAGTGAGAATCAACGTATTTGGTGGGCAGTTTATTTAAATTATAAGACTATCAAAGTAGTATTTAAAAAGTATTGGGTTAGACACAGTACATTTCTAAATAATTTTCTTTTTTCTTTATCTTCACCCGAGGATATTTTTTCCATTTTTTGTTCAGATAGAGTGGGAGGGAGAGAGAGAGAGAGAAACATCGATGTGAAAGGGACACATCAAGTGGTTGCCACCCACACAACCCAGCCAGGACCGGGGACAAACTGCAACCGAGGTATGTGCCTTTAGTGGGAACCAAACCCGGGTCTCTCAGGACTGCAGGCTGACGCTCTAATCGCTGAGCCAAACCAGCCAGGACTCTAAATAACTTTCAAAGTAACTCTGAAAACATGCCTTTAAAAAAAACCATGTATAGCTTTTGTTAAAAAAAGAAAAAAAAAGAGCCAGGCCAGTGTGGCTCAATGATTGAGTGTCGGTCGACCAATGCATCAAGGGTCGCTGGTTCAATTCCCAGTCTGGGAACATGCCTAGGTTGTGGGCCTTATCCCCAGTGGGGGTCATGCAGGAGGTGGTCAGTCCATGTTCTTTCTCATTGATGTTTCTATCTCTTCCTCTCCTTCCTCTCTCTCTAAAATCAATAAAGAAAAAATATTAAAAAAAGAAGACCCGGGAGGTGGGGAGGAGGGTGTCAATGGGGGAAAAAGAAGAAACATCTGTAACAAAAACAAATTAATAAAAAAAAACCAACCCTTTATCCCCCAACAAATGCTCAGAGATCACTGTTAGCATTTTGTTGTATTTACTGCTGCTTCTATGTTCAGATACATACATTCACAATTTGAGATCATATTTTGGACATATAGTGTAGACTTTTTCAGCTAATGTATTGTGAACATTTTCCTATGCCATTAACAGTTCTTCTAAACCACTTGAATGCTGTCAGGATAAAAATTCCATCATATAGATGTATGATTATTTAATTATCCAACCCCAGTAATAGAGTATTTAGAATATATTCAGTTGTTTGTAAGACTGTATCTTTACATAATTTTTATCATATATTAGTTTTCTTAAAGTAGTTTTAGCCTGCTTTTTTTCACTTAAATATTCTTTTCCCATATAATTAATCTTCAAAAATGTTATATAAAAATATATTAATATATAATATAGTAAATATAATTAATAACTATACAACATTATGTATATGAGTTTACAACCTAATTATTCTCTGACTGGGCAGTTTGTTCATTCCCTGGTTTTCTTTATAATTCTGTGGATGTACGTACATCTTTCTGCATAAAGCTTTTAAATTTCCGATTAGTGCCTTAGGAATGATCGCTTAGGCCAGAGAGCATGTACGTTGTTTAGGGTTGTGAGGTAGATGTGCTCATTTGTTTCTTGGAAGGTGGCTCCAGTTCCTCTTCATCAGTAATGCAGAGCGCATGTCGCCTTCGTCACGAGCAGGTTCACATTAATTTTTGTTGTGTATTTTGTTCTTCTCCCCTCTTGTTAAGTTATTTGGCAACATCTGGTTATCTATGGCCAGCTTGGTCATCTTCATGCAGCTGCGTTACCTGTTTCATGAGGTCCAGCGTCGAATCCGCCGGCACAAGAACTATTTGCATGTTGTTGGAAACATGGAAGCAAGGTGAGTAAGCACAAGTTGGCATTTGCCCAAATTGACTCATTTGAGATCTTGTTATTAAACAAGAGATCTCAGATGATATGAAAACTTGCTTTTGTAAACTGGTAACAGAATGGTGGAGAATTATAGCTCTGGTGTCAGACTGCCTGGGTGTGAATCCCCACCTACTTGTGTTTGTGGGCAATTGACTTAACTCTGTGCCTCAGCTGCTTCATCTCTAGCGCTGGCAGCAGAACCTTTTTCCTGGAACTGTCGGGAGGATTCAGTGGTATAATTCATTTGATAAACTTAGAATATTTTAGTACTGGGTATATAATGTGTGCTCAGTAAATTTTAGGTTCTTATTATTGTCTTTTTTTTGGTTAATCCTCACCCAAGGATATTTTTTCCATTGATTTTTAGAGAAAGTGGAAGGGGGTGGGGGGAGAGAGAGAGAAATAAAAAACAAATATTAATTTGAGAGAGACACATCGATTGGTTGCCTCCCACACATGCCCTATGGGGGCTGGGGATAGAACCTGCAATCTAGATATATGCCCTTGGCCAGGACTCGAACCCACAGCCCTTCAGTGTATTGGCTGATGCTCTAATCACTGAACAACAGTGGTCAGGGCTTATTATGTCACTTTTATCATCATCATTATATGGAAGCTTCCTTGGGCATTTACTCTATTTTAAGAATGTGGATCTCAGTTATTCTTATACTCATGCATGTTTATACACACACACACACACACACATTCTCACACTTAACCTCATTGAAGGAGGCACTCACTTGCCAACCTGAGGCTAAACCAAGCCTAAAAGTGTGAGATTAATGGGTATCCTTTTTTGTCCAAGGACGCTGTTTGGCTCTCTGGGAGTCTTAACTGTCCTGATTTGCCCAGATATGTTCCCTCAAGTCATCACTAACAGGAGCCATGGTTAAGACAAATAATGTCTGTGTATAAATTCCTTATTTGCTTTTTGATAAGCCATGAAAAGAAAGCAGGTGTAATATTTTTGATGGTTGGTGATTTTTTACTGAATTCCTTTTTACTGAATTCCCCTGTAACATGCTGTTAGAAAGGCGTGGTTGGTACAATAGGGCTCGGAAAACGTTTGTGGCACTGATTCCTGCTGGGCGTGCTCTGCTATTCACAGGTTTGCAGTTGCAACTCCAGAGGAGCTGGCTGTCAACAACGATGACTGTGCCATCTGCTGGGACTCCATGCAGGCTGCGAGGAAGCTGCCCTGTGGCCATCTTTTCCACAAGTAGGGGCTTTGGGAAGGGCCACATGGACTGGTCTTCTGTGCAGGGCTTGTGGGGCCTGTTTGTGCTGGTCTCAAGATGAATCCTAGTAGAGAAGTAGGGACATTACCGCAGACTGGCTGTGGTGCTCTTCAGGATTTAGACGAGAAGGCCAAGGTTATGACATTGTAGCAGGCAGTAAAGTAGCACGAGAGAACAAGCATCATTGGAGGAGAGTGTAATTCAGCCACAGGATTTTTAGGGGCAAATGGAGCTGGAAAGGAAGATGGTCAGCCGTGTGATGAAGTCATGTTGAAGAAGGGTCATAACCAGGTGGTTGGTAGATGACTATGTATGTTAATGAATTAGTGTTCACAGCCGAACATTCTAGAAGTATGTTAGAGTGAAGTAGGGCAAAGAGATAATGTCAACAAATGTTTCCCAACTTTAAATCTCTCCTAGTGGTAAATAGAAAGTAAAATTACAACATATTTGATACATTCAGAATACTTCTGGTGAATTCTCACAAAACATGCTAAAGATAACTCATTTTGCACTCTTTGCTAGCTCCTGTCTTCGTTCCTGGCTGGAGCAAGACACCTCCTGCCCAACCTGCAGAATGTCTCTGAACATTGCTGACGACGGTCGTGTCAGGGAGGACCGCCGAGGAGAGAACCTGGATGAGCACTTGGTTCCTGTCGCAGCTGCTGAAGGCAGACCTCGACTAAACCAACACAATCACTTCTTCCACTTTGATGGTTAGTTGGTTTCGACCTTTAAAACTATACGCAAGGTTTTGATGCTATTTTAGTTATAAATTGCTCTGTACAGACCAGTTTAATATGATACTTCAGTTTTAAAGGTATTGATAGCACTAAGGGTTACTGTGTACCAGGTATTCTGCTTGGTTCTGTGTGTGGATGGGTGGGGCAGGGAGGAGGAGGTAGTAAAATTGAATCAGCCATGCCTGTGGGGAGCACATTTGATGAGTGTAATAGTTAACTGTTGCTAATAACTTACTGCATTGGTGTAGTACTTAAGCATAGAATGCCTTTCTAGTGAGTGTCAGAAGCAGAATCAGAGATGGAACCCTGTGACTTTGCCCATAGAATATGAACATTCTGCCTCCCAGCAGTGGGGAAAGGAGTTGCAATAAAAAACCACACTTAAAATTCTAAGAACTTGGGCACCGTGTCAAGGGTGGTGGATTATCCTTCCATAATTCATACTATCGAGCTTTTGAATTTCATCAATTCCAATACCATTAACTTGTATGAATTCACATTTTGTACTGTCAAACAGGTCTCCCTGGCATTCTGTTAGGAGGAGTGCTATTGAGATGTCTGATTTGAGTTTGCAAGGTTGTAGCCGGCTGGGAGCACAGTACACTGGTGAAATCCCTGATAGAAAGGGCCAAGGGGAGCAGAGTCAAGTCCCAGGAAGAGATGATGAGGGCTGCTTGGCTGGCCAGGGTGGGGATGCTGGAGGGGCTTCAGGGGGCTGCTTTGGAGGCTATTAAGTAAGGCCTGTACCAGGTAAGACTTCTGAAATATACCAGCTGATTTGGACATGAGTCCTGCCTACATAATCTATTATTTTATGAATTATTACTAAAAACTTGGTCAAAAGAGAAAAGTCATCTTTATTTCTCCTTAGTAAGTTCATGAGAAGGCCTGGCATAAATACCAGCTGGTGTGGAGTGGTCAGCTCCAGAGTTGATGGCATGGGGGGAGAGGTCTCTAATCCTGTACTCAACTCTTTGTTTAGGGTCCCGGATTGCCAGTTGGCTGCCGAGCTTTTCAGTCGAAGTGATGCACACCACCAACATCCTCGGCATCGCGCAGGCCAGCAACTCCCAGCTCAACGCGATGGTGAGGGCCGCCAGTGTGTGCAGTGGGCACGGCCTTGCTGCTCTTAGCTCCGCCCTGGCAGAACGGCAGGGTTTTCAGGGCATTTTAGTAATTCACTGAGGTCACTCAGATTCTTATGTTTTCAATTTTGAAACTGGTTTAGAAACCAGCTTTTATTTTACTTATGTGGCAGATAATCTGACCTTTTCTGGGTAATGCTAGGTTCACTCTGTTGTGATCTAGGCCAGTCTTGGACTCTCCTGATTTTAGCCAAAAATAGTGGGGGAATTATTGGCTGGAGTGAGGGCTCTGCCTTTTATTAAAGGTTGTACTGGGCCTGCCACATATGTTTTTCTGACCATCATTCTCTCCCTCCCCAAAATCGATAAATACGTGCATGCTGTATTTATATATATCTTGAGATATTGAGGCATGCTGTTGGTTTAAGGATATAGTTCAAATACTTGAAGATTCTTTGTATTTTTCAAAGCTTTGTCACATGATGAATTTATTTTACAGTGTTGGAGAAACATTTCTGACCATTGCTGAAATTTAGTGTTCATTGTGATGCTAAACATAGGAGTGTTAGCATGCCAGCTACCTTTGTCCTGCTTGGGCTGGACCTCCAGCTGAAGTGGGTAAGACTGACCAGTACTTCAGAAGGTCATTGGTCATTAGCTCATTTATTCATTAACCTTAATGTATTTATTCAACAAATGTGTACCGAAAGCCTGCTCCCGTGACAGGCACCGCGAGATTTAGACAGTGCACAGCACCAGCCATGTGCACAAGGTAGTGTGAGCCCTGCTCTCTAGACGTGGTTGTAGTAGGGAGGCTGATTACGAACAGATGAGCTGCTCTGATGTGGTGTGCTCCTAGGCAGGGAGGCAGTGCCAGCCGGGGCGCAGGGGTGGTGCAGGCGCGTCACGGAGGCTTTCTGAGGAGTTCTCCGAGGAGCTGATCCTGCAGCCGAGACATGGAGGGTGAGAAGGGGGCAGATCGGGAGACGGAAGCAGTGACAAGGGCAGGAGCTGGAAACGGCTTGTGGTTGGAGCTCAGGAAGTCAAGAGACCAAGATGATGGAGCCAGGTCATGCAGGGACTTGCAAGCCCAAATCCACTTTAAATTTTATAATGAAAATATTAGAAGGCCATATTAGACCGGCAGGGAGCAGTTTTGTTCCGCGAGGAGAATGATGACCAAAGCGCAGAAGTGGAAGCGTGAGACCAGGTGGGAGGCTGTCGCGTAGTTCAGGCGGAAGAAGGGGGCGGCTTGGACGGTGTGAAGGGGAAGGGACTGGCGTTTCTGAGATATTTGTAGAAGATGAACTGACAGGACTTGAGGCTTTGGGGGAATGGGGAACGAAAGCAGCCAAGCAGATGGCAGTACCATGTACTAGATGAGCAGGACATGGGGGGAAACAGGATTGAAGACAGGGAGTTGGCAGTAAAAGGATCAAGCTGGAGATACACATTTGGGAGTTTTAAATCTATAGGTGATGTTCAAAGCAGGGGACCAGATCTCCTGTCACAGAGAAGGCTCAGGCCTGGGGTCTGGCAGAGAGGGAGGAGCCGTGACCAGGAGGGAGAAGGAAGGAAACCAGAAGCCAGTGGCCAGTCAAGCCTGAATTCTCAGAAGACAAGGTCGAAGTGTGTGTGGTTTGGGCCATGGAAATGGTCAATTAGCTGGAGAAGAAACAAGCAGTTTTCGTGGCCTGTGGAGTTGAATATAATAAGGTTGTGGTCATTGAAAAATATGTGTGAGCTGAATAAATAGTGTCCAGCAGTGTATTGTAAAGGGAGCAGGGAGATGTGGTAGCTTGCTGGGTAGGTGGCCTTGGGCAGCTTCGTTTTTTCCAAACATTTTTGAAGAGGGCATTTATTTACAAGTTTCAAAACCTACCGAGGTGTATCAGGTGAAGTCACACCCGCACTCAGCCAGGTGGCCTGTGGAGAATGAGTGACATCATGGTGGGCAGAGATGGTCTGCAGCCGAAGGCGGCCTCTGACTGGTTCATGTCAGGCTCTGTGCGGACACTGGGGTCAGGCAGCTGTGGAAGCTCTGCAGGCGGCCACGCCCTCTGCCTCCTTCCAGAGTCAGAACTATGTTCCTGGAGTCGGAGTGTTTAGAATTCTCAGGCAGGCCCCGGTGGTCTTCCTCCAGTTCCATGGTGGATCGGAACAGCCTATTTTTAGCACAAGTAATGTACTGGAACCATGTATATTCTATAAAAATCCAATATTTCACTTACTGGATTTTTTAGGAAGAAAAGCTTTGGTCTAATAAAATGAATCTTGGGCATTTTTTATTTGGGAAATGAGGGAAAGCTGTTGAGGAATAGAGATGAATGTTAGCTGGTTGACGAGGTTTTTTTTCTTCATTGATTTTAGAGAGAGAGGAAGGGAGAGGGAGAGAGAGAGAGAAACATCAGTGAGAGACAACATCGATTGGCTGCCTCCTGCACACCCTCTACTAGGGATCAGGCCCACAACCTGGGCATGTGCCCTGACTGGGAATCGAACTGGCGACCTCTTGGTGCATGGGTCCACGCTCAACCACTGAGCCACACTGGCCAGGCGTGGTTGTCAAGGTTTTTATGGACTCTTTCCAGTTAACTTTGCTTGGACCTGGGCAAAAGTGACCCACTCACATTCATATACACAGTGAGGGGATCCCAGGACCCAGGGGACCCCGGTCCTCTGCTCTGCACCTGCTCCCTCCCACCCCAACAGTGACTCTAAGCAGAGCTTTGTGCAGAGTTCACTCTGATCATTTTTCTTAGGGCCCTGACTTTGCAGTTCTAAGAGCATGTTCTGTAGGAGCCACTAACCCAATTGTAGACTTTATTGTACCCCTAAAGTAATTATGTTTTTCCTTTTTTTTTTTTTTGATCATTAGGACTTTTCCACCAATAAAACCTTGAGCATAAGCACTGTAAAATAAATATACAAAATGGAAGACAAGATCGGGAGCCTCTTTGGTGAAAGTCTGGGTGGTGGTGTGCTGAGACTGTGCCTGTTCCCTCACACCCATGTGCCCACCCTAGACTCCTAAGTGGACTGAGACATTTCTGGAGTACAGTTTGAAAACTACGGCTCCAGAGCAATATTAGCAATTCACATTCTTTGTAATCTTTTTTATTCAAATTGAGGTATCATTTACATATAGTAAATTCATCTTTTTTAGTATCAGTTCTCTGAGTTTTGTCAAACTCACATAGTTGTGTGACCACCACCATTATCAAGGTAGAGAAGGGTTCCATTCTCCCTCCCCCGATATCACGGTGCCGCTTTATACTCACTCTCTCCCCACCCCCATGCTCTGGCAACCACTGTTATTTTGCCTATTCTAAAGTGTCATATAAATGGCATTTTTGAGTTGGGCTTCTTTCACGTAACATAATGCATTTGACTTTCATCTATATGTATGTATCAGAAGTTTGTTCCTTTTCAGGACTGTATCTTTAAGGAGGAAACTTTTTTATACCCAACTTAATGTGCATACTTTTTAAAACTGGAATATTCTTGTTGAGCCTTTTTTGGGATCCAGCTAGACTTTTGTCTCTTTTTATTTTGAAATTGACGTCTCAAGTTATCTGTTTGGCACCCTGGGGAAATATAAAGGGAGTATATTTGGATGGTGAGCTGCAGAATAGAAGCGACCCCTCACCTTTGTTTTCAAGGCAGATGCCAAGCTCAGTGCCCAGAGCCTGCATATACCAGGCCTTCACTGGGTAACTGTTGAGAGTAAACGTTTCTGTGGCCTTTATGTTTGTATTCCTGTAGGCTCATCAGATTCAAGAAATGTTTCCCCAGGTCCCATACCCGCTCGTGCTGCAGGACCTCCAGCTGACACGCTCAGTTGAGATAACCACAGACAACATTCTAGAAGGACGGATTCAAGTACCTTTTCCCACACAGGTAAATCAAATGACAGATTTGATTCTCTAGACTTTTAGTTACTTTAAAAACTAGGTATTATTTATGACTTAATAAAGGGTTTCTGTAATTTTCCTAACTTTCCAAATTATAACTGTTAACAGACCCACCAAAGAGGCGTGGGTTAAGACAAGAACAAATGTATTTGGGTAATTTTTTTTTTTTTTTTTTTTGGTGCAACTGTACACTGCCAACCAGCCTACTTAGCTTGCCAGTCAGGAAGTCATAGCATTGGTTCCTTTGGGACAAGGATTGGCAACCTCTTTTCTGTAAAGGGCAGATAGAACTGTTTTCGGCATTGTGGGCCATACGGCCTCTTTGTAACCTATCACCTCTGCCATCGCAGCACGAAAGCAGCTGTGGCAAATATGTAAAAGAACACAGCAGAATGTGTTTACTGTTCTCGTGAAATGGGAATTATAGAAGTTGTGGAGGGCAAATATGGCCCTTGGGCTGTATTTTGCCGACCAGTCTGTAGGAGATAATGCCGTAGGTCCCTGGTTGGCTCTGTACGTTGGCATGGTTTTCCATCAGGTACAATAGCTATGTGAGGCTTGTACTCTTAACTTTTTAAAAAAGGTCAGGTTTCCTGGCCCATTATATATAACCCCTTTGATGGGTACAAGAAGTATTAACATTTTAAAGCCAAGCTCTCTGGCAGTACCAGAGAATTATCTACCAAGAAATTATTGCCCTGGCCGGTTTTGCTGAGTGGTTAGAGCGTTGGCCCAAGGACCAGAGAGTCCCGGGTTTGGTTTCCGCTAGGGGCACGTACCTTGGTTGCAGTTTGTCCCCGGCCCTGGTTGGGGTCGTATAGATGGTGACCACTCGATGTGTCTCGCATATCGATGTTTCTCTCTCTCTCTTCCTCCCTCTCTCCCTTTCACTCTGTCTGAAGATAAATACAAAAGTGTCCTTGGGTGAGGATAAAACAAATAAATAAAATAAAAAGAAATTATTCAACTTCAGCATATAAAAATATGGAAATCTATTAATAAAATCCTAAAACTTGAGAATCTTTGAAGAGGGAATGAGTCTGGACTTTGGCATCAAGTGGGCTGATACTCACTGAGACTTGCCGTCCTTACCCGTCTGACCTTGTTGGCTTTGGGCTTCCCAGCAGCAGACCCGGACAAGGGCCCACGGCCAGTAGTTGCTCTGAGAAGCATTCCAGGCGGCGCAGGCAGCTGATGGGTCTGTGGGGTGCAGGGAAGGCACCGGCAGGTTGTGCCATTCAGAGGTTCCGTCGGGTGACCAGAGCTGATCCCGCGGGGGCCGCTAGGATCCAAGTAGTGCGCGTCCCTCCTGGGAGCGGAGGAGCTGGTCGAGGGCTGAAAATGAGAAGAACAGCCGCTCCCCTTTCATAGACATTAAGAAGGTGAATGAGGTGATCAGGTCAGGGGTTTCCCGCAAAGTGTGTAGGCGGTGTGACCTGCTGTGGTCACTTTGTTGTTGTTGCGCAGTTACTGTTACTGGAGGGAAATGGAGTGTGGAGCCAGTGGGTGACTCAAGCTTGTGCCTCGGGCCTCTGTGTCCGGTCTGTGATCTTAGCAGCATTTTTGTTGCTTTGGCACCAGGGGCCTTGTTGGGGCTCAGACTGGTGGGATCGTAGCTCCCTCTGCACTCCAGGCTTCCCCTGTACCTGTTCGTGAAGTTCCGGATGGCTCTGTACTGACGGGTGCTGTCTCTTTCAGCGGTCAGATGGCATTAGACCTGCATTGAACAGTCCTGTGGAAAGGCCAAACGGTGACCTGGAGGAGGGAGAAACTTCTGCCCAGGTAAGGCCTGCACACCAGAGGGAGTGAGTGTACGGGGTTGGGGAGGGACGTTTGGTGACTGGCAACAGTCTTCAGCCCTGCCTTTTCCAGGTTGTGAGGTGCGGGGGAGGGGTAAGAGAGCTGCACACCATCTCTGTCTCAGTTGTTAAGGTTAGCACACCAAACTGTGCCCGGAGTGCGGCCTGCTTTGCTTCCTACGGCCTCAGGCCACTCCCTGGCGACTGATGGTCTCAGGACCTGGAGGAGAAGGAGGTCAGCCCTGGGTCAGCCCTGCTACCTTGAGCTTCAGTGGCAGCACCAGGAAAGGCAGAGCAAAGCTGGGCCCGGGACTCCGGTGCCTGGACTCACCCAGACCCAGATAGGGCTGACTAGGGCTCAGCCTTCTGGAGCGGAAGCCATCGGATTATTCTCTCCACGTCACCTGTTCCACTCCGGGTTTCCGGGCCCTTCCAGCATTTCACAAAAATGAGAGCCTGAGTGGGAATGGTGAGGTTGTCTTGGGAACTAGATCTGCCTAAATATCCACGTTGAGTGACTTGGGGTGCTTAGGTGGCTTTCCCTAACCCAAAGTGGCTCCTTTGTCCGGTTTCTAGGGCAGAGCCCCCTCCCCATGTTCTTAGCCCCACACCCTGGGGGGGGGGGGGGTCCAGTTCACATCCTTTCTGTAATTCCCATTTGCCTAATCAATTACCATACTTTCCAATAACTTTCTTAAGAGACTGAAAAAAATATCCCCAAACAACCCTGCCTTTGTGTGTGCATGTTGGTGACATGCCAGGCTTCCCACACACAGGCCCGGGGTCTGAGGATGGCAGCGCCTCCCCACTGGGGTCGGTCAGGGTGCTTCTGGAAGCAGCTTCTTTCACCGTGTATGTTTACCTGCAAATAGGGGGCAGGAAAGACTCCTAAGACTTTGGCAAATCTGTTGCAGAGTTGAAGTTTTCATATCTAAATCCGTAATTGGGTTGTGCAGCATTTGTAAGTGTGCCAGGCTTTTGAAGACTGAGTTCCTGTCTGTTCCGGTGTCTGGGTCGCCGCCCAGCTGAGGATTGAACGCATCTGTGCCTGCAGCATGAGCACGTTTGAGTCCTATCTTGATTCCCCAACTCTATTTCCTGAATTTTTTCTAACGTAGTGGAGGGAAAGTACTCATTTGACAAGGAAGCTTGCTACACAATAGTTTTGGTCTTTCTCAGGAAATATCAAGTCTTTGGGTCAAGTAAAAACTTTAGTTCGGTCCAGTTGCATTAGCTCATCACTTACATCCAGTCTCTCTGGCTCCGGTTCGGGCCTGCATCAGTCAGGCTTGGAAGCTGGCAGGAGCTGAGGTGGGCTTCTGCTTCCTTCCTGCCTCTCCTCCACTCACCATCCGTTCTTCCAGCCTCCGCAGGGTCCGGCTCAGGGAGAGGGAGGGGCGGGGCGGGGCGGCCGTGTGACCCCAGTGTGTGTATTTTTCTTTGAGATCTCCATGCCCCATCAGCACCAGAAACCTTAACTGTACTTCTGTAGAACTTGAGCTGGCTGTGAGCACCCCTACCTTCGTGGGGGCCACCCCCAGGGGCCCTCCTGGGCAGGGCCCGAGCCTGCGCAGCCCTGGTGCGGAGGGGCCTCCTCGGTGGAAGTCGACTTGCTCTCCTCACGGCCCTTTCATTCATCTGTCCCGAGCCAGTTGCTTTCTCCCAGAGTTTCTGAGTGTGTGTTAGTCACCACCAGTCCCTGGGTCCCCCAAACTCTAGGGAGTATGAGCCAGGTGACACTGTTCTCCGGAAGTGCCCTCACTTGCTTGGCCAAGGCAGGGAGAGGTGGTGAGGGAGGTGACCACACACCCCAGCTCTTAGAATAGGCCCGTCTCTCAGCATTTCCCCTGCAGCTCTGATGCTGCCTGGAGGGGGTGGCCATGCTGAGCCGGGGCCCGGGCCTGGGCCTGAGCCTGGGGGGGCACCTGGGCCTTGTTCTGGTCTTGGAGCTTCAGCCTAAACCGAGAGAATCCCATTTTGTATGCTGTTACACAAGGAACCACATGATCTTATATCTGTTTAAAAAGATCTTTAGAATTTATCCTTTTTATCTATTTGACTGTTTTTGGAGTCAGGTGAGGGCATAAAATTTGTGCAGTGAACGTGCTAGGACTTGTTTAAATTTTAGAGCAATTATTAGAATTGAACAGAAAATTCCCAGAATGCAGAGTAGCGGTGAATTTTTCACTTTCCAAGAGTGCAGTCTCAGGGTGTGTGTGTAATCCTTTACCTGTTGCACTCACACCGGACATCCAGTGTGAGTCAGGGTCTGCTCTCATTGGTGCACGAGCCTGCGGCGTGGCCTGACCCCAGGAGCCCACCTCCGCCATCACCTCATGAGCCTGGTCCCTCCCTTGGGTCCAGGGCTCTTTGGGGCAGTTGGCCAGGTGGGGCGTCTGCCTGGGAGGGCGGCCTGTGCTCACACCGCCCCTCGCTTCCTCTGTGTGCAGACAGAGCCAGTGCCGCTGGCCCTCAGTCCTCGGCTGGAGGAGGCGCTGGACTTCAGTGAGGTGGAGGCGGAGCCCAGCGAGGGGGAAGACTTCGAGGCCCGGGGGAGCCGCTTCTCCAAGTCCGCGGACGAGAGACAGCGCATGCTCGTCCAGCGGAAGGACGACCTCCTGCAGCAGGCGCGGAAGTAAGTGGGATCTCAGCCCTCACGGTCCGAATCCCAGCTAGAGCCAGTGCCTGGAGACCCTTGTCAGGTCTTCTTAAACAGATGCCAACATTGAACAACCACTCCACGTCCCCTAAAAATTCAGGTTTCAAACCTCTTTCGAAAAACCAGAAGATCTAATAATATTGGGCTGCACTGGTGACACGCAGCCGCTGTTGCCATTGCTTGTCTTCTGTGGACATCGTCAGCCACACACCTGGACAGCACTCATGCTGGTGTGTCCTGAGCACTTCATGTGAATCATTCTGATGCTGTTGACAACTCTAGGACAGAGCACTGTGATCATACCCATTTGACAGGCTGAGCGCTGAAGAAACTGAGACTTAGACAAGTGACCACGCCGGGTGGCCCCGCCTCAGAGCGGATGCACGTCTGAGCCGCCCTCCCCGTGTGGGTGCAGCTGGAGCTGGGCTGTCCTTGTGGCTGTGCTGGGCTTTTCACTTCAGTAAACTCTTGGGGACAGGGTTAGCATTGTGTTCATGTGGGCAGATGTGATGTCCAGCACAGGCCTTCTGAGTGTCAGGACTCGTGCTGTGTGTGCATGTGGGGAGGTGACAGCCAGAGGACAGGGAAAATGGGATTGCCGCCTGACAAGCCTCCTCGCTGCTGGGGAGAACGTCCGCTCCTCTGCTCAGGGCCGAGTGTCTCTTCTCATGGGTGGTGCTGAGTGACAGCTTCATGAGAGTACCTGGAAAACGACGGGTGGGAAATGGACACGTCCTGTATGTTTCTGTATGTCTGTTCCAGAGCTCCCCTCGCCCCTCATGCAAATTCTTTGTTTTTGTTTAAGGCGTTTCTTGAACCGAAGTTCTGAAGATGACTCGACCTCGGAGAACTGCCTGGCCTCAGAAGGCACGACCTCTGACCCCGTGACCCTGCGTCGAAGGATGCTGGCTGCGGCTGCAGAACGGAGACTTCAGAAGCAGCAGACCTCCTAGCACTTCCCAGCCTCCCTCCGCCGCCCCCAGCAGCGCCCCCTGGAGAGACCTGTCTTCGTCCCGCCTGCTGTTTGAAGTGGGCTTGACTGCATTGCGCTGTGTAAAGCATGTGGTCTTAATAGTGTTTGGACAGCTGATAAATGTAACCCTTTTTTGTAATCCTTTCTATGTGACATTTCTTCTCCCATTAGAAACACTGCACATTTTAACTCTAGGCATGATCTCTTCTGGCATTGACTGGTCTTCTTGGGGGTGGGGAAGATCAGGAGGAAGTGGGCAGCCAGAGGCCCAGAGGCCAGCAGCTTCGATTACTGCTTTATGCATAAGTCACAATGAATGCTGGCGTCCCAGCTCCAAATCTGGCAGGAAGTGTGAGGCGTGGGGGCAGGACTCGTAAAGACCCTAGATGTACGGCAGGAGCCGACTCCATACCACTGGAGTCTCTGTCAAATGCTGCTCGTAGTCAGGAGGTGTTCAGAATGTTACAGGGGCCAGACCCCTGGCTCCTGGATCCCTGGGCCAACAAGGCATCCTGGAAAAACAACACTTGGTCTGATACCTGGAGCAGCCCAGGGCTAGAGTGTGAGTGTGTGACCCGTGTCCCAGCACATCGGGACTTCCTTTCTGAGCACCAACCAGAGCTGGTTTCATTTCTGTTCACGCGGTGCTCCTGCATCTCGAGTTCACCCTGTGTGTCTGTCCTCTCCTTTCTGCATGTCACTGCCCCCCGGGCATGGTGGGGGTGGGGGGTCAGCACTGAAGGGATTGAGCAGCTAGTTTCGGTTTATGGTTTGAATTCATTGGTCGAGTAAATTAGGCAGTGCCAAGGCTGTGGGTTGACCCTCGGGGAAGACGGCCTCACGAAAGGAGAGCACTCTGGAGGACTCTGTGTCTCCTCGGAGCCCTTCGTCCTCATGTGTTCCTGTCGGTCTAATTAGACGTGGACGGTAAGATGTTGAACCCACCTGTCTTGGAGCAGACCCAGGTCCTGACCCTTTTCAAATTCTTCACACATTTAACTTTCAGGATTTGAAACATGCAGTGGGGAGTAGGTTACATAATTCAGTTTTACGTCCTGTCAGATTAAGTTGTTTTTAAATGTCTGAAAACAGTTTTATAGTAGTCCTTTGGGGGAGAATCCAGTATTATCTAAAATTATTGGCAAAGTTAAATGTATTTTAAAATGAAAGTTTTTAGAATGTTGAAAAGTAATTGAAAAAAGAGTGATGAGTATTGTTTAGGCCAAGATAATTTATTTCAATAAATCTTTCAAAAGCCTTACCTTTGAAATGCTGTTAAATTTCTGTGATTTTTTTTTAAAAGTGTTTTGTTTTGCTGAGAACATAGCTATTTGTTTTTATTGTAAAACCACAACAGTAATAAAAAGCAGACTCAGTGTGCTGTGTGGCTGGGAGCGGAGGCCTCTTTCTCGGTCGGTGTGCCCGCGCTCGAGCCCACTGAGGCTCTGTCGGAGGCCTTCCGTCTGTCTGCTCTGCAGGTTGTACGTTACAGACGACACTCAGTGCTTCAGATGCGTGAGCAGAGAGAATTGTTTGAATTTTAGAAGGTCTTAAAACATTGGAGTCTAACTGAGACCTGCCCTATATGCTTCGAATGACCAAGAGGAGTCCTGAACTCACTGCTGGCTTTGCACCTGGAGGGTTAAGGCTTCTGGGCACGACCTGGCATAGGCGCTAAGGGCGTGGCAGGAGGCTAGACCAGTGTCCCATTGGCCTGTCTCGTGACCTCACGGTCCTGGCTGTGTCTCGCCTGGGAGAGCCTGTTCTTGTGCTCAGCCCCGAGCCCAGAGGAGTGGCCTGGCGCTGGTGCGGGCTGGGGTGGGGCGTTGCCCTCGCTCTCGGCTTTTGGACGTAGTCTGTGTTACTCCCATTTTCTCATGGGCCCTATTTTGTTGAGATCTTGGATTTGGTTTTTCCTTTTAAAATTTCGAGGCTTTTATGTGGATGTTTAGTGTTGCTACAAATCCTAGGTGCCCAGGCGGCCACTTGGACCTGACTTCCAACTTGAACTGTGTAGACAGCGTGCTGTTCTGTCTTTAGCCAGAAGACATGGTCCTCTCAGTCAGACTCTCCCCACTGCGGGGGGAGCCGAGAGCCCTGCTGAAACGGCCCAGCAGGCAAGAGGAGCCACAGTCTTGCAACCAGCTTGTCGCGGAATCACCTGCCCACTGGAAGGAAGGCCCTCCCCCTGGAGGCCTCAGCTCGTCGCCGGGAGCGGATCCAAAGTCTGCGTGCGCAAGTGCCCTGTGGGCTTGGACCCGGGCTCCTTGTTCTAGTTGCATCGGCGCCCTGTGTCCTTTCCCGAAACCATGCTCCTGGACTCATTCTAAGGAAGATGAGGCAAAGAACGCTGTGTCGGTTTTATCTACAAAACTCACTTGAAAGTGGGTGAGAACCCTGCTAGAATATGGCTCATTCTTAGTGGACTTTAGCTATGCCCATATGCCGACCGACATGGTGGCCTTCAGCTTTGCCTCCAGACCTGTGTTTTGAAGTCATGCTGTGGCCTGGGAGCACAACCTTCCCATCAGCAGAGATGGTCGTGGGCCTCCCTGTGCAGGGAAGTTGGGGTGAGGGGAGCTGGTGGGAAAAGAACTGGTGTGGCCTTGACCTGCTGGCTTGTCCTGGTGGAAGAAGTCCAAGGGGTGCCCGGGTCAGATGGTTCTTTATAACAGGAGGGAACTAGCTGCTTGTTATTCCACAGTCTCTGCAGCGGTATCAACCCCCACCCCACCTCCACTAGATTCAAAAGACCACAGGAACTGCCAAGGGCTGGAAGTTCCCATTTGTTGGGGTCTGGAAAGGGTTCCAATGAACTGACCTCACATGTCCCTGGATGGCACGATGCAGCACTTGCCTGCTTGGCTGCTCAGCAATCCACGGATGTGACACAGGACTTTGGTGGGCTTGTTCCCTCCAAGTCCCAGTTTCAACTGATTTGCTAGTTATTACAGCAAAAACCTGGCCACCTAGGAGAGGTAGTGAGACCAGCAGCCTGTAGGAGACAAGAATCAGACTCCACCTGCCAGGCTATTGCCTGCAGGGGGCTTCCTGGCATCCAGGTGCAGTAGTGGAGGCTTTTAAAGATGTCCAAGTGAATGGATGTGACCCATTGGGGTCAGAGGGCCCAGGCAGCCTGGCCTCATTCTTGGGACCACCCATTCTCCCACTGTGGTGGGACCACTGGGAACAGGAGAAACGAGCCTGTACTAGCAGATTTGGGATTACCCCCCTCCCCAGTCTTCCCTTTCCAGTCCTCGATTCCACTGCACCCTTAGAAACAAGCAAAACCAGCTGAGAGTGGTGAGGAGGAGGATGGGAGGCTGGAGGAAGCTGGCTCCCCGTGACGGCAGCACCGGGGGACCTGGACACGGTCCTGGGGGTTCTCTGCCTGCCAGCCTTGCCCGCCAGCCTCCCCGCGGCTGTGGCCCAGTCGAGCGCCTCCTTCCCTCTCGTCAGAACAAAGCCCGAGGGTGAGACTGGAGTACAGACAAACATTCTCTTTATTGAGCTACACATGGGTTTTCCATTAGTCAGAGAAGTAGACTGGCAGTGTGTGAGATACCACAGAAACCTCACCGATTGGGAATAGAAAGGCTTAGAAAGACCGTGGGCATTTTTTTTCTTTTTTCCGTATTTTTTTTCCCCAAGGTGTGTGTGTGTGTGTGTGTGTGTGTGTGTGTGTGTGTATTTTAAATATTTTGTGTTTTTGCCTCCTCATTATCTGAAATGGCTGTGACTGGTCTTCAGCAAATATCTTAGAAGTGAAACCGTGAACAGGTTTGCAGTTTGAATACAAGTCGAAGTAGAAATGACATAGGACTGATCATGAAACTTTCATGGAAACACTACATTGCATCTTTTTAAAAATTTTTGTGTGTTTTTTCTTTTCCATATTGTGGCATTTAAAAAATGTTTTGTTTTTGTTTTTGTTCTTTTTATCTGCAGCACAAACATCCCCACATGAGAACGAGCGAACACAGGTCACTGGAACAGGAGAAGGAGGGCACACACACAGGAGCATCCATCCGAGACCGAGAGCGGAAACCAGGAAGGAAACGCAGCCCTGATGCCCACAGGCTAGGAAAGCTGTCTAGTTGTAGTGCACAGGGCTCATCAGGACAAGAAAACCAAACAACTGAAAAAAGTTATAAAGAGCATCTGTAGAAGGGGTTAGTGGAGAAATCGCTTCCTATGGGGCTCTTCATACACAGATCCAGCCTCCTGTGGCCGCGGTGGGCCAGGGGGAGCCATGCTCTCCCCACACAAACCTGCAGTGAGCGCGTGACCCGAGGGCTGGGGGTGGGGCTGCGGGTGGCGTGGGGTGCAAAGTGCAGCCCGATCTGAGCACACTCTGGAAACTGGGTGCAGACAGGCCTGGCACCTCTGCAGGGGTGCTGTCCCCCCCCCACACCTGCACAAGCTGAGATGGGGGTGGGGGGTACAGATGTATGTTTCTTCAAAAAAGAAAAAAATACGGATGTAATGGTGAGTTTTCCATTTTCCTTTTAAGCTACAAAGCACATGAGAAAATTTTTTTTCCTTTCAAATTCTAAATATAAAGACTCAACTAAAACCAAATTCTATAGCATTCTACAGAAATACACAGCCATCAGTCACTCTGGGATCGGAGGTTAGACAGGGGCTTGATACAGAAAGGCTGTGTGTCTTACAAAGGCCAAAAGGTCATGCTACCAGGAGATCAAGGTCAACAGCAGAGAGTCCGTGAAGCAGTCTGTAGAGAGAGAGATAAGGGGGTCCAGTCTGACCAGTTTCTTTGATTTTAAAAACCAACCAACCAACCAACAAACCCTGGCACACTTTTCATCATGTTTGGGAAGGCCAGACGAGGCAGACTCTCAGGAAGGTCAGAAGAAACCCAAGAGAAGCCCAGCCCAGGCCCCAGGCCTCATCCATGGGTCAGGTCTGCAATACAGCACCCCCGGCCCCTCCTGGCCCCTTGTCCCCATCTTTCCCCTTCTCCACAGGTGTCCTGCAGCCCCCTCCCCTCAGCTGCTTTGACAATGCAGACCAAGTCTCCCTTTTCTGACTCTTGCTTGTTAGCATGAAGAAAGAAAACTCGAGAGACAGTGGCTTGGTCGGAGCAACGATTCTTCTAAGTTCTCGAAATGAACAACCACCACCACCCAAAAGAGAAGCGTCCTTAAGTTTTCTGTTGCTGGGGATGCAGGGCAGGGAGACCTCTAGGGCACTGGCCATTTAGTCAAAGGTTCTGGAATTCGCACAGAGCAGAACAGGACTGTGCACCCAGCTAGCAGCAGAAGCAGAGTCGGCTGGACTGATGCCTGGCCTCTCTGCCTCCCCCTGCTGGCAGGCATGGGTCTCAGTGAATGCAACCTCGGGGTTGTTCTGAAAAGGATGGTCTCCCAAGTCAGGCCTCCCATCTCTACGTGTGTGCGTGCGCGAGTGTGCGCCTGTGCACACGTTCACCAGCATGCTCGTGGGCTGACCCGGGAAAACCTTGATCTATGAGATGGTAGTCAGTTCTGTCCGAAGCTCTTTCTAGTACAAACTAAAAAGAAAATTTTAATATATACTTGTATATGTATAAGGTTTTGTTATTCCTTTTTAAAGTTTACCAACTTGCATTTGTTATGGTGTGTGTGTGAGTGTGTGTGTGTGTGTGCAAGCGTTTCTGTGAGCGCTGGAATCATTACCAAATAGGTTGCTATACAGGACAAGAGGTCAGTACAAGCCGCAGCCCCGGAGGTTGTTGGCAATGATGATGTCGGTGACGGCGTCGAATACCACCTGGATATTATTCGTGTCTGTGGCACAAGTCATGTGACAATAAATTTCTTTGTTGGGTGAGCGGTTTTTGCTTTCAAATTGTGCTTGGATGTAGGCGGCTGCGTCTTCGTAGGTGTTGGGGCCTGTAACAAGACAGAATAACGGAGAGGCCCTGGTGAGAGCTGGGGGGACGGGGTGGGGACCCCAAGGCGAGAAGTGAGCTGCACTTTGCAGGAAGCAGGTGAGATGGTCCAGGAACAGGCTACAGACAGACACGCCTCCAAGGGGTCACTGCATGTACATCAGAAGCCTCACGCTGCTCAGCGTTCTCCTGGCTGCTGCCTTTTCAAGCTCCTTCTCCCTGTCAACCCCAGAGCCTGAGAGGACATGGCCACAGAAAGTCCCTTTTGCTTCCTGGGTGAGCACATTGAGGCCTTGCCCTGGTCTGCTGGTCAGAACACTGCCCCTGGCCTGAAGCAGTCCTGCTGCCTTGGTAAGCCAAGACAGTGGTCTCTGAGAAAGTCCCTGCAGGGTGGGGACCCAGGGCTCCTGGTGTCGCAGAACATGCTGGGTGTCGAGCTGGACCTGCACTCCTTCCTGGGTGGCTTCCTCTCTCGAGAAGCCACTTGGCAGGGCTGGGACCACCCCTACGTAGTCCTAGTTCTTGGGTGAGTGGCCAGGATTTAGGGACACTGGTATCCCCTGGGTAGGAAGTCTAAGGTGCTAGCAGTGTGTGTGATACCAGCTGAGTCCCACTGCCCACCCCCAATTCCTCGCTGTCCCCTTGAACCTGGATGGGGCCTGGTGGGAATCTGTGGATGATGCAAAGACAGTTTTTAATCAGCGGCACCCCCAAACCTTGGTGGCTCTGCCCTGTGGGCAACTTTCAATTACATTAGATATAGACGCACACAGAATTGCCTAAAACCCCATCAAAGGAAGATGCCCAATTGTCCTCAGTGCCACTAGGGTCTGGGTGCTGAGGGTGTGGGGTGATACCTCCCCGCCCCTCAGCAGGGGGGTGTGAGCCCAGGGGAGGCTGGGATTTGGGCCGCTGGGAGGCATCTGCAGCCAGATACACAAATGTGAGGGGTCAGGGGAAGGGGTGGGGACACCCCTGGGGGGTGGTCAGGATGAAGACCAGCTCTGCACAACCCATTTGGCAGAACCTCCCTCTTAAACCCACGGTTGGCGAGTGAGCAGTGAAGCCACCCAGAGGGGCTGCTCGCAGACCAGACGCAGCACTGTGTGGCTTCGTCACGGAGCTTCTGTGCGGACGGCTCCGAGCCAGGGTGCTGAAGTGCCTGGGAGTGACCCGGGGTGCCCTCACAGCCGGGCAGAGCTGCGGACAGCCCGCGACCGCCGCCCCTTAGCCTGCTTTGTGTCCCCACAGGCCTCGGCACCCCGGGACGATTTGTCAGCCAGCACGGTGATGCCTGAACTCAGCAGCAGTGATGTGATGTTGGACCCCTCTGGCTGCTCTGGAGAACCCAGCTGTTCCCCCAATTCAGACTTTCGCTGGGGCAGCTGGTGCCCCACACTCACAGCAGTGAGACTGGCTACTGCCGGGCTCCAGGGGGGCTGGTCCCTTAGGGTGGTGCCTGCCCGAGAGGGCCTGCAGGGCCTCCTGGCTGCTGAGACCCATCGGTCACCACAACTTTCTGAAGACCTGAGATGTCCCCCAGGGCCTTTGCCGAGGCGGGGAGAGACCAGCAGGGCTCTCCTCGGCCCGGAACCTCCGGGCTGTCCCACGCAGCCCCGCAGAGGCACCACCCATGGCCAGTCCCCCATCCTTGGTTTCCCTTCTCTGAGTAGCAGTAACGACAGCAAGGACGGGCGCTGTGCAGACCTGGCACCAGGCTCTGGTCTCTCCGTTCCCCGCTGTGGCCACCCCGCGCTCTAGGCATTACTGTTTCTGCTGGGCGCCTGGATGAGAAACGAGGCACAGGATTCGCCTGCCCAACGCTGCAGGTGGTCTGGCTCCAGAGGCTGCTTTGGTCCCCCTGCCTCTGGAGCCTGTGCTCCTTCCCAGGGCCAGGCCCCAGCCTGCCCCACCCAGCCCTGCGCCCGGGGGGCGGGAGCCTTGCTGGGGACAGGCAGCGGAAGGCCCGAGAAGAGATGCCCTGTGGAGGAGAAGGGTGGAGGGGCCAGCATCCACGTCTTCTGGAGTCGGGCTGGGTTTGGGGACCGTGTAGCCCTGGGAGCTGAGCCCCTGCGTGGCCCCCTCTCTCTCGGGGCGGCCTGTGAGTGGGCTCCTGGCTGAGCCAACCTGTAGCACATCCTCCTTGACTGCAGGGTGAAGGGGCCCCCGGAAGCCTTCCAGTCCCCACAGGGACAAGGCTGGGCTCCGGCATGGCAGCCCGGCGCTAACCACTCCCTGCAGCCAGGGCCGTCGGTCAGCCGTCGGTCAGCCGGCAGCTGGTGCTCACCCACCTTCCGCAGAAAGCTTCCTTGTGGGGGTCTGCGATGCCTCCCCTGGAGCCAGACGGGAGGGAGGGAAAACTCCAGAGAAGGTGGAAGAGAGGCAGGCAGGGAAGGAGGAGGAGGCGGAGCAGGTGGGGGCTCTGGGCACAGCAGGGCTCTGCAGTGGGAGCAGCTGGGGGCCACGCAGGCCACGCGCCCACCCTGCCTAGTTCAGGCCAAGGAGCTGTGTGGTTAGCAGCCGCCGAGAGCAAAGGGAGGCTACTGAGGAGGCGGGAGACACCTTCTACAGGCGACCAGGGAGAAAGGGGAAGCCTGTTGTCCTGCTCCGCCTCCTGACCCCTGTCATGCCACGAGTCACCTGGTCATAAGACGTGTAGATCAGAAGGTCCGCTTCCCACCACACCAGGGCGGTGTCCTGGGAAGGGACAAGCCTAGTCACGCCCTGGCGCTTCTCGGCGCCGGGTCAGACCTACACACCAGCTGCGCCCTGAGTCACAGGCTGTGGCGCTGGCTCAGCCTCTGCAGGCGACGCGGGCCCCGGGCAGGGGTGGGGCCTCCTTCTGCACAGGGCTGCTGGGACACCCACCTGTGTATTCAGGAAAGCAGATGGTCAAAGGTGACTTCTTGATCTTCTCACCAAAGAGATCTTTCTTGTTGAGGAAGAGAATGATGGAGGTATCGATGAAGAACTTGTTGTTACAGATGGAGTCGAAGAGCATGAGAGACTCGTGCATGCGGTTCTGTGGCCGCAGGAGGGAGGGAGAGAGGGACAGACAGCCAGAGGGAGACACGGAGACAGGGAGAGAGAAGAGAGAATTAGGTTTGAGAGAGAGGAGCTGGACGGCTCAGCAGCTCAGGAGGGGCCCCCGCGGCTCCTGGGAAGGCGGCAACGGCAATCTGGAGCATCACACGGGCCGGTTCCCAGCGCTCAGACCAGTCTTCACCCTGGTCTGGGCGCCGGCGGCAGACACCGACTGGCCACTGCTCCCTGGGTGAGGCTGAGGACGGGTGATTTGAGGTCCCCCCTGCAAGGTCCCCACCCACAGGAGGGTCGCCATACACCCGTGTGTTGGGGGTGTGGCTGGATGGGACCCGAGAGTTGGTTCGGCCCTTCCTTTCCTCTTGAGCCCAATCTGTGGGCAGGGGGAGGTCCTCGGGAGGGGGGAGGGACTCTAGGCCCTGCTGTGACCTCGGGGAAGTCATGCCTCGGGGCTGCCACAGGCGGGGGCTGCTTCTGTCCAGACTATCCGCAGAGATGTCGGGATGGCCCCCAGGCTGGGCAAACTCAGCCAGGATGATCCCACAGGGGAGCTTTAAGCAACGCAGCCAGGAAGTGCTGCCTTGTACCTAGAAGTCCGTTTAGCAAGTTGATGCACAGGCTGGGCCCTCCAGGTAAAGCAGATCGGATGGGGACAGCCTCTTCCCCTGCACGAGGCCTGGCGTACTCTACTGAGGGTGCCAGGAGCACACGGGCAGTGTTTCTTGGCAGTGCAGGGGAGCATCTCTCTCCATGAAGGAACCCCATTCTACACGGGAAGGTGACTTCATGAGAGGTACCTCCCCGGGGGCAGGGCAGCTGCTCGTCCCCCCCAGAACCCTGCCCTCGCCCTGGGAACTTGCCCACCCCACACCCAGCTCACTGTGTCTACAGCTCAAGCCCAGAAACGATTCCAGGCTCCAGTCCCCCTCTGAAGCCAGAAGACCGAGCCAAGTCAGAGGCAGGAGCAGAGACCAGTGTGGGCCCCACGGGGCCTCGTTCCGGAGCAGGAGGCGGGGGTGGGGCCATGCGGCCACCTGGTTGCCGCCCTCTGCAGCGCTGCACCCGGCACTTCACCAGCCTCGTGCCAGGCAGTCTCTCAGCACTCGGGGGGCACTGGGAGGTGCCACAGCTGGGGCCCGGGGAACAAGACTGGCCCTGGTTCTGGGCCAGCTCCCGAGCTCAGACAGTGCAATGGGTCTCTCCAGTCACTATGGGCCATCTGTGGCCATCAGAGGAATAAATAACGAGGGTCACGAGGAGCTCCACAGTCATCTTTCCCCAGACTGCCTCACCACACCCGTGACCTGCGGGGGATTGGCCCCAAACCCTTGCTCTGTGGCCGAGGCCAGTGGCACCATCTGTTCGCAGTTGCTCCCCGGGAGCCACTAGACAACCATCAGTTTTACTTCTCCCTCAGGTCTGCAGAAATGCCACTGTCCCTTCACTCTGCTAAGCAGATTAGGCAAAGTCATGACCATTACCCTCCTAGCCTCAGCTAGTCATTCCTTCTCAGTTCCCCCACAATCCCCTTCAGGGAAGAGCGGGACGCGGTCCCCTGCCGTCTCAGCGGAGCCTGTCCACAGGGGCAGGGGCGGTCTCCCCGGAGGCCGAGTGCAGGGCTCTGGGCCGCCCAGGGCAGGTGGAGATGCTCGGAGACCAGAGGACTCCCAGGAAAAGCCCGCCCACCACACGGAGCCACCTGACCCACAGCTGCCCAGCCAAGAGCTGGGGACCTGCAGCGAGAGCCCAGCTCCCAGCAGTCGGAACCTGCACAGCTGTGCCAAGCACTGCTTGGGCCTACAGACACTGGGGGACACAGTGAGGACATATGCCCAGGGCACTCGCAGGCCCAGCAGGGACCACCAGGGTGGCCCGAGTTGAGAGTGGGAACTGAACCCATTTGGCTCGGCTGAAGGTCTCTTCCTCAAGAGGCCACTGAGCTTTGGTCCGGAGGAAAAGGCCAGGCCAGCTGCCCGGGCTCCACAGTTGCCTGCGAAGGCTCAGGCCCTGCACGGCCCCTGAATACGGCCCCCGGCCGGGCGGCTCTGGGCAGCAGGAACGCCAGCAGAGGCTCCTGCTCCCCAGCTCGTCTAGCGGGGAGACGACGCCCAGGAGGCCCCTCAGGGCGCAGAGCCCAGGGGCAGGCGGGAGGCGGAGGACACGCGCAGGTCTTGGAGTACACCTGGAAAGAAGGGCTGATCCTGGAGGCGCTGGGCGCTGCTGCAGGGACAGGCGCCGGCACTGAGACCTCGCTCCAGGCCCCGCGGGCCTGACAGACACCCCTCCGCACACGGACTGCAACCGTCACCAAGGAGCCGAGAGCTCGGCTCGTCCTTACGAGCTTCCCCGAGAAAACAGACGCAGGAATACAGTCAAAATGGGAGACGGCACCAGTGGAGAAAAGAGAAGGAAGCCGGGGGTCACAGCCAGACAAAACCCCACGTGCATTCACCGTCCTGTCCCGCCCAGAGCAGTAGGGGCCGTGTGACCCCACGCAGGCAGTCAGGGAGGTGGCATGACAGCAAGACCAGCCTCCAACCTCATGACGATCCTGAGCAGCAGCAGGGTGTGCCCCTGACCAGGTGGCCACAGCCCGGACCCCAAGGCCCACCTGGGGCAGGGCACTGGGACGTGTCCTGAGGGGGCTGCAGTGAAAGTTTGGGCACCGACACACCACCACACTCACGCTAGGAAAAGCTGCACTTTTATTAACGCAAGTGACTAATAAATACATCACGGGAGCCAATAAATTACAACTAGAGATTTATTAAACCCACAAGTCACTCTACTTACAAAATTATAGTTAATATGGGGTGGCGGAGGCCGCGGGACACTGAACCTCAGTCTGCTACGAAGGGAGGGGAGGAGAGCAGAGGTGGCAGAGGCCTGGGCGACAGAGGAACGAGCAGTGGGGCTGGGGCAGGTCCCAGGGCAGAGACCAGGAGGGAGGGGGCTGCCAGAGAGGCGGCAGGAATTGGAGCGGGTGCTGGGAGAGGCTGCAGAAGCAGAGGTGTGTGGGGCTGCTGGCTCAGCTGAAAAGGGGGCATCTTCATGCTGGTGGTCTTGGTGCACTGGGCCTGGGGATGAAACTTTCCTTCCAGAGGGACGCTCTCGGACCAAGAGGGTCAGGGATCAGGGTTGGGGGTACATTCTTTGTGTCTGCTTCAACCTGCCTGTCCCTTGACAGGGGCCTTCCTCTGGCTGGGGTGGGATCTGGCCCAGGACTGGCCAGGGGGACGGCCCCGCTCTGCCTCAATGGGGGACAGGAGCCTGATCTCCATCCCAGCAGCAGCCCACACTTCGGCCCTGTCCCCTGGTCCGGGTGTTGTGTCCAGCCTCACTGGCCTGGGCTGACACTGGGGAGCTGTCTGGGGGTACTTATCTTCGGCATCCCTGACTGAGCCCCTGGCAGCCACAGGCTGCGCTCCTGAAAATGGCCGGGTTGTGCCTGAAGGCTCCCAGAAGGCTCAGAGCAGAGGCAGCCGGAGAGGCTTTGTGTGCCGGGCGTCTCAGAAAGGGCCGGGCAGGCCACCACCTGGTCCGCAGGGAAGAGAGAGCTGTGGTCTGACCGTGTGGGTTTACGCCCCTCTGAAGAGTGCACGGGTCAGACCAAGGCATGGGGGAGGGGTCTGCAAGGAGGCAGGCTAGAGGTGAGAACCACCTGCAGAAGCAGCCACTGGGTACAAACTGCATTTGTGAGGATAGGGCAGTGGGGTACGTGCCCCCCCCCCAGACTTGTCCTGGCAAAGGAGGGGAGTGGGTGAGATGACTCTGCGCCTTCCTGTCAGGGCTTACAGACAGCCTGGTCATGGAGGCTCTGGGCTGGGAGGGCGCTTGTGACTGCTGCTGGCCTGGGGATAAGGGGTCACAGAAGCCCAGTGCAGCCATGACCCCAGTTCCCACCTGAGGGTCATGGAGCTGGGCTGGGAGACAGAGCTGCGTCCTGGCACCAGACAGGATGGTGCCCTCTGCCTGGGCTCTGTCCACTGCCCCCTGGTAGGAACATGCAGCCACAGGTCCTCAGGCTCCGCTGGGGCCGGGCACTGGCAATCCAGGGCTTCCATGGAGAGTGGCCATGGGGCTCGGAATGTCCAGCTGCTGGCAAGGGGCCCAGAGCTGTGCTCTGCTCAGGGTGGGGGCAGAGCCCACACCGTCCTCAGACCAGAGTCCACAGGCTCAGCAGAGCCCTTCTTGGGCCTTGGGCACTGCCCCTCCAGGCAGGCCATCCAGTCCTGGGCTCTCGGTTCTCCACATGAAGGCCAGGCCTGGCTCTGTGGGGCATCTGGGGCCAGGCACAGTTTGCATGGTTTGGCAAAGGTGCCCCTCCTAGAAATCAGTTTCCCCATGGCCGGCTAAGCTTGGCCCCCAAACACAGGGCCACCCACTCAGGTCACTCACATCTCCCCACACCAACGACGGAGCCGAAAACTCAGCTGTCACCTTCAGCTGTTACGCCCCATGGTGGAGCCGCTGGTGACATGGACGGTGACTCGGAGAACAGCAAGGGAATTCCACCCTGGACACCCTCTCCTCGAGGGCTCACACTAGCCAGCCAAGGACACGCGGGTCAGGCCGGGAGGGCGAGGGCACGCGAGAAATGGAGCCGTGTGCCTGGGAGAAGCAGCCTGGGACGCAGGGCAGGAAGGCCCCTGATGCTGCCCTGGGCAGGGCGGGCCTGGGTCCTGGCTTTGGCCAGTGCTCTGGCTGCGCGGTGGGGAGGCAGCTGGGCGATGGAGAGCCCTGGGCCTGGGGGCCAGTGACGTCCAGCTGCAGGCGATGGCCTTAGAGGTGGGCTTGGCCAGCATCCCCATGCTTGAGTCTGGGGTCACAGAGCAGAGGTGGCCACACCAAAGGTGAAATTTGGGGAAAGAACTCCTGTCTTCAATATTGGGCAAAATGGTCTAACTGGCCCTGGCTGCCTGTGGCAGGACACTGAGTCTTTGGCTCCAGGGGCGGGTCCTCGGCCACGACCCGGCGACT